TGTGAGTGAGAGAGAGAGAGAGAGAGAGAGAGAGAGAGAGAGAGAGAGAGAGAGAGAGAGAGAGAGAGAGAGAGAGCATGTACATGTGTGGTGTGGGGATTGTGTGTGTATATATGAGAGCAAGAGAGAGAGAGAGAGAGAGAGAGAGAGAGAGAGAGGTAGACTCTCAAACTATGCACAGATACAACACACAGACATGTAAAATGACAAATGTAAGGAAAGCTTGTGATCACTACAGACCAGGGTGCCCTTACCCTACACCATCAAGATGTAAGATGTGTCCTCTTTTATTCTCAAGCAGAATAGACTCCCTCTGCAGCCACTCGACTGGTAACACCTAGTTTTATTACACAAAGTCCCGGTGGGGAAATATCATAAATAAAAATGACATAGAATATAAAAAGAGGCCGTTTGTCAGATGACGGAGGCAGGACTCGTCAGCAGGTTTGCAGCCATGGCTGTGGGGACCTTGTTGAGGGTCCATAGGGAAGTCACTTCCACAGCCTTGAACTTGGGGTTAGGACAGAAAGGAACCTAAGCAAAAAGTAAATGTGTGTTCTGAGTGGGACTGGTGTCCTACATCACCTCCTCTCTGTTCAGGTCTGACCCACAGTTAGAAAAAGAAATTCACACAAATACGATTTATTTCCTTTTTGACCTCCCAGCTGATCGTTACAATCCCACAGGGTAAGGCAAATGCCACTGAGATGTCCTTCATTTTTGTATTCTCTCTCCTAGATGAAACCACGCATTTAACAGTGTCTCCCATTTCTCAATTGCTCCTGAGAAACCACCTGCTAAAATTTCCTCCTGAGCAAAAAAAAAAAAAGTCAAAAGTGGTTCAAAGAAATGCAACTTTATCCCTCCACCACCTTTCAGATGGTTATCCGCCAAAGATGTGGAAACACAAGGAGATGCACTTTGAACCCTTAAATACTTCATTTACTTCACTTCTCAGAATCGATTAAAGTACTAGTTTTTCTTTCTTAAGTTAAAAAAATTAATTAAAAAAAAACAGAACATACTAACTTTTATGCAGTTGAAGGGTAATAATGTACTCATTTATTTAATTAAGACCTAGGACATAACAAAACCAAGAAAAATCTCTCTTGCTACAGAATCAATAGGAGCATCACCCCTATTTTCATATATATTGTGTTATCACACACATTTACACTGCGAGCAACCTGCCCCAAGCAGAAAAACACTGGATTATATCAGTTATTGATTTGTTCAGTACATGCAGAACGACTTGTACAGCTTACTGTACCTGGTATCCATTTATATAACTGGATATTTAGAGAATCAATTCAAGTTCCTTGCTCCAAGGGTACAACAGCAGAGCCCCACCAGAGATTTGAACTTATAACCACCTGGTAACAAGCCCATTTCCCTAACCACTGCTGCACACTGAGGTCAAAAGCAAATTTCCCTGCCTAATTGGCGGCTGCAGCCTCTGTTCACGCGCCCATCCCCAGACCACCTCCTACATGGCCGGCCTCTTCAGAAGAGCCCAGACAAACACACCGGTAACAAAGTGAGATTCTGACACATCAAAACACACTCACTCACATACAACGTGGTCCATTAAAGCATCGTGCGAGAGTGAAGAATAAGATATTCCCTTTCATCGCCAACTCCACTTTCTGCAGAAGACAAACAGCAGTGCATAATAAACTGCTTCAGCACCAGTTCTGAGATGCAGTGGACAGCATCAGAGGAGAAAACTCCAGAGAGACACACTGAAAGAGGAGAGAGAGAGAGAGAGAGAGAGAGAGAGAGAGAGAGAGAGAGAGAGAGAGAGAGCTAGGAGGGGAAAGAAGAGACAGAATTACAGGGAAGAGATAAAGCACAAATTAATTTTGGAAGGAAAGAAAAAGAAAGAAAGCAGGGGAGGAGTTCCTGTTCTTACTATATATAATAAAAATAATTTCCTACTGTAGGCAGATGACCCCACAAAACATGGGCAACAGAGCCTGCCTCTACTCAGTACTGTAAGAAATGGGCCCTGGCAGTGTATGTGAAAAAGACCACAATCATGATATAACAGAATCATGATCTAACAGAAGAGCCATATCTCAAGTCTGACTATGAGAACAAATGGAAGCTATATTTTCTGTGACTGAACTGAGAGATAACACATACAGGGCATTTTATGATATTAAAACAAAGTCAATGTTCAATGGCCAACATTCAACACTGTTAGTAATAGCCATATATAACTATATATTAGTAGTAAAAATTAAAATAAATAAACACAGTAAAATTGTCAGAACATAGAAAAGACAACTACCAACACTCCCATTAACACAAGCCCCTGAAAAGCAAAGAGCTGAGTCCCCTATAACAGCTAGTCCTGAGGCTGAGTACTCAACCCACCACCAACCACACACAGTTTCAGTATAGCATCATGGTGCAGGGTGTTAAAGTAACCCAGATCATAACACAGTAAAAACAAAAAATTACATCATCTATTGGGTTTCAAATGCAATAGTACAACATAGACCTGAGAGCTATTGGGCCTTAAGACAGTCTGCCATGGCAGTTTACATGACCATGGTAACTGACAAAAAATGGAGAAACACCTTGACAAAAAAAAAGGATCAATGAGAGCAGTCTGGCCATTTAGGCAGACCTGGCAGCTCAGAGAGGACAGGCTGTGCTCTCACTGTCTGCTTCGGGATGTTAAGTGCTTGCATCACACTCGCAAAATTTGAAAAATACAGCCACATAAGGGACACATTATTCCCCTTAATCACTCGGCTCATCCCCAGTTTTTTAAATTCGACAAAAAAAAACTGTCTGTGCCCCTGAGGAGAAGAGCAGCTGAATTACACAGGCAGAGCTACCCATCAGAGCATTAGCGAGAGGGACTGCTGAGGGAAAGGGGCACCTTAAAATCCATTTGTATGTCCATTTTTATTCTCAGTGTTGAACATAGTATTTTACTGTATGTTATAAGCTCTTGAAAATATCTAGGCTTTGACATTATTTACTGTTGTATTTCAAGTCAATAAAGAATTCTGGACTGAACTGAGAAACAAGCAGAGAGAGGAGAGAGGGAGTGGGAAACAGAAGAGGTGCATCATGGGTAATGATCATCTCCATGTCTGTATGTTCCTCACTAATATGCAGGTTTTATGATTGCTTGCAGGTTGAGCCAAATGCTTTGTGAGGAGCTGTCTAACTTTCACTCACATCCTTCAGGAGAGCAGGACTTTAAATACTGTTTTATTGATAATCAATCAATAATTTAATAGTTACGTAAGGATCCATGATAAAATTTTCATTCTCATTTTTTTCAGTGATGGGCATTAGTTTTAAGTAAAAATTAATGGTGTTTTGCAAAAGATTCTTTCCAACAGCTACACTGCATTCAAAAACCAAAACCATCAAATTCTCGCATGTAATGTAATTCCTCACATTCCTCCATTTGCTACTTGTGAAATGCACAGTCGTTTTTAAAATTCTGGTTTATAAACTTTTGTGCTGTGCCCTAAAAAGCTCGGTGTCCTTCCGGCTCTCTGACGATGTTCACACTCACCTGACCTTCAGTGCAGACCTCTTAGCTAGCCCTAGGACCACACACATCGCAATGGGAATTCTCCTCAGCGAGCCCACATTTCTGGAATTCCCTCCCTGACAGAATTCCTGGTGGACGTTAAATCTGGTTTTAAGGCTTAGTTTTGCAACATGACTTTTAAGTCTTTCATGTCTTTTGATGGCTCTTATTGCTTAAGATGTCATTCCTTTTTCAGTTACTTTCATTGGTTGTTCATCTGTTGTAATCATATTCTTCTGCACTGGTTTAAAAACATTCTATTTCTTACCTTTTAACTTTTTCCTACCTTTACGGTTTTTAGCTCAATATAACAAATGTGATTTATGTTGTTGTGCTATGCCATACAGCTATGAAAAATAAAATTTCCCTTTGGAATTTGTCAATTCATTAGCCCTCTTTTTATTATTCAGTTTAATCATTCTTGCTGTCAATTCATCATTCTATATCCACAGTTAAGTTAGTGTTTCCTGGCAACTTCTGCCTGAAGCTGGCAACATTGTACATGCTTTTACAACAACAAATCATGTTAATTAAGGAAGGGATGCCTTTAAATGTGTTGCAGACTTTTCAAACTTAGTACTACCCTGTTTAGCAATTAACACCCAAAGGATATCTTTGTATTTCAAGCCTACATTAACACAACATTCAATTAAATTGCCTCATCCACCATCATAAACAATGCCATCCAATAGAATGATCTAAGACATGGGTTTGAATTGACAAATTGAGGGTACAAATTGCGAAACCATGGATATGGTTTGGTAAATTGAGGGTATGCATTACTAAATGGAATTTTTATTTTACAACCATGCCTGTATAAAGCATTTTGAAATACTGTGTGAAATTACTTACTGAAATTAGAGGACAGAATATCATTAAAAAAGGCTGTAAAAACATCTATCAGGCCTTACTTGCAGGGAGAGTCTTTGGTTGGAAACAGTGTGCATTCAACCCTGCAAAGGGCACTGACAAGGTGTTTGTGTGGTATATCTGACTAAAAACATATTTTATTTCCAAATGCGTATTGACATTTTGGCTTTAAAAAGTAACACGACTCGATACACATGATAGCACAGCACAATAAACAGTAAGCTACTGAAAATGAGTATTTCTGAATGTTCTCTGAAGGCCCAAGGAGCCACAAAAACACTTTTAATTCACTGAAACAGACAGGAATGTTTTACTCCTCAAATGCATTCTCATGTTTAATAAATCATATCTAAATCCAGTAAATGGATGCTCGGCGAGACTTGTACAGTGTGCACTGAAAGGAGTATACTACAGTGCCTAGATGCCTGAAGTTGAACAAATGTGCTATGACAAGTATAAAACAAAAGACATCCTGTAGAAGATTAAGTAAGAATGTATGCTGACAGTGGGGTTTAAACCTGACTTTGTGTTTATGGAGTCTGTGTCTTCCGGCGTCTTCTGCGGAGGTAACAGTGTAGCATAGTGGTAAGGGGCATGTCTCATAACCAAAAGGTTGCTGGTTCGATTCCCCACTGGAGACACTGCTGCTGTACCGTTCAGCAAGGTACTTAACCCAGATTTGTCTCACCAAATATCCAGCTGTTTAAATGAATAATATGTAAAATTGTCACCAATGTAAGTTGATCTGGATAAGAGCATCTGCTAAATAACAGCTATGTAATGGATACTCCTTCTACTACCTGAACAGTCAAACAAAAATCTGTCAAAATTACAGTAGTATTGAACCATAACCTTTCCCTGAGCCAAATGACTTGACACATGCATAACCCAACTGTTAATTTTTCTGTTTTTGTTTTTGCTTGCTGAAAAGAGATTTTCTAAGCAGTGAAATACCTTTCCACTAAAAAAGGAAACGTTGCATTATATGTAAATGCAGTATTTCAGTAACGCGGTGTATTTATTATTAGTACTTACAGCTCAGCAATTGTGAAGCTGCAACACGATGACAAAATGACAAAAGAGCAATTATTATTCTGTGACAGTTTAATCATGAATTGGAGGATGTTACCACCACAGGTTTCTGAATCAGCTGGCACACAACATGGCAGTCCCTGGAGACAATTGATTAGACTGCTCTGCTAATACAGTAGGTGCTTTTCAAACAGTCTCAGCTGGATGTGACACCTGCTTAATGTGTAGGTTCAACATTTATGTTAATTCAACCAACTGCATTAACGTATATGCACCTTAGCGGTGGATATACGTTTGATTAGCATGACTGTAAGTATTTGCTAACTGCATAATTATGCACTGATATATAGAAATTCATGAATGAGACACATTCATAATGAAAAAAAACATGTTCTCAGCTGCTCTTCATTGAAACAGGCAAAATAAATTCAAATATTAACTGTCACAAGGGAATAATTAAAGGCGTATTAAATAAGGTCAATATTTATGCTATGGAGGTACTGTGAATGGACAGGGGAGTGAATAAGGATCGTTTTTGCCTGCAAATTTCTTTACATAGCCAAATGTTCCATCAAGTTAATGTTTATTTTTGTTTTGCTCTCTGCTGTAGAATGTTCTGTAAGCATTCCAGTTTTGAGCCATCAGACATCCAAAAGTATTTCTGAGAAACTCAACTCTTACATAACCCTCAGCCAAAAAAAACAGTTTTAATTCTGACATGAAGATATTTGGCTCTGAGCTTATGAAAGCTAACAGTAATGATTACCTTGAGTACCATGAGGCATCTTCCCAAGGACTCTCAGCTGCAGCTTTGGTTTGTTAAAAATGAGTTTCACATTGGTGGCTAATTGCTTCCCTAAACTTTAAACAAAAGCAGTGTGAAGAGGAAGAAATCACACAAAACCTCTGCCTCCCATTGTTCAACTTGTCAGAAAAGTGGAGATAAACACACTGAGCTGTAGGACAGAATAATAGAAGAGGTGGAGAACAGGACATCCAGCATATCCAAGTTTTGTCATTGTGCCCATAGAGCAGAGTGTAGCCAGCACCACGTCAGGCCTATTCTTAAATAAATCCAATGGTCTGTGCTTCCACTATGAATCCTAGCCATTCCATGAATTAGTAATTCTCTATGTAAAAAATGTCAATGCTAAATTTCCCTTTAACTAATTTCCACCTATGCCCTCTTCTGCTGCTGACAAAACTCCACTTAAAATACCTTCTGAAGTCCATTTTATTATTCCCTTTTAAAAAATTTAAAAAGCTCAATCAAATCCCTTATGAGACTCCTTTTGCTGAGAGAATAAAAGGACCCATTTTTTAAAAGCATAAACGCAACCTCTCCAAGGCAAAGCAAAATAGTCGAGGGCAAGTCCAAAGACCTGGAGATGGTGACGCAATGGTACGTTGAGTGTGCATAAAACTTTAGGAGAGGTCAATGCATGCTACAGGTGGGCCAGGGCAGTGGCAGTCTCTGAACAAGGGGACAGTGCCCACAATGACAACATCAGAGGAAGAGGGGGACAGTGGTATATGAAAGATGAGACAGAGTGAGCCAGTTGTTGAAGGTCTTTGGTCTACACTTGCACTATATATGTAGGTATAGATACCTGTGGTATAGTAGTATATATTGCATATACGGTATGTAGGTATAGGTATTTGTATATATGCTTACATGGTGTAGTATACACAGACACAGTATGGATATGACAATGTTTGATATAATGGCAGATTCACTGAGGAAATACAACATACTGCAAATAAGGCAAAAACACATTTATGCAGCTTAAGGTTTTGTTTTTTGGCTAGAAATTATTTTGTTCGCTATTTCATTGGGCAACTTGTTATTATTTAGCAGAATCCTCATTTGGGTATGGCAGATGCCATGCTCTAGTTCCTGGCACAAGCAAAAGCAAGGCCCTCCAAACCAAACCTCTTTCACCTCCCAGACTGGCCCTCTCAGATTTGAAAAACTCTTACACCCACTCTCCCATGAAAGCCCTCCACCCTGTGCAAAGGCTGTGCATACAATGTTCTCTGAGACATATCAGGGGCAGTCACTGTGGCCACATGGAGAACAGATCTGACAGCCAATTGGGATGAGATGATCCACGGTGAGCTGGAATGACCCGGTGGCATAGGGGGACAAGGCAGGTGTCACCTGTGCAGCAACAGCGAGGGGACATGGACAGTAGGATTGGGTCCTGCATTGAACATGTGGCAGATATCAGCTATTCTAGGGCTTATACACTTGTTGGCATCACCTTATTGACTGTTTCCACTGAGGAGGTAATGCGAAAGCAGTAAATGGTTAGCTTTAGGAAACATCACCCAATCAACTGTATGCTCTTTGGCAGTTTCATAAGCCACATTTGACTCTTGCTTAGCCCAGTTTTTGAACAGCCATTTCTCTCTCTCTCTCTCTCCCTCTTATTGTGGTTGTGAGGTAGGTCTGCCTGAACCACATTCATATTGTATTTCACTGCCATTTTGACAGCATTTGACTATTGAAGATTATTTGATAGAGTCATCATTACATTTGACCACTGAAGATCATTTCCTAGATTCATTATCACATTGGACGAATGAAGCCTGTATGCTAGGTTCATTATTGCAGATCACACAAGATAGAATTGTAGAATTAATTAGACAATGTGACAAGCCATGCAATACAGATAATCTCCACATTTTTTCATAATGTGTAGTTGTTGGTTGCACTCAGTTTAGATTTTAAAATTCAGATTTTTTTTTGTCAGTGACCATTGTTGCCTTGAATTGGTTATAATTGATACTGGCATTTATCATTAAAAATACTGCTTTGTACCAAAAACACCACAGTACCCTGAATATTCCCAGCCTCTCAGACTACCTAGTGCAGGAGGGTGATGGTGGTGGTTTAAGTGCTTGTGCAATTGAGAATTGCTATCGCGGTGCCGCTGGCATTTTTTCCTGAAATGCTGACAAAGTGAATTGTGCAAAGCATGTTTCCAGATGTGCAACCAAAATTGTACCCTAATTGTCTTCAATCTGTCTTCATGACCTACATGCTTGATAAGTGTCACCAGTCTGACCATGCTTCTCTTTACTTCTTCAAGAGTGCCTATGTTCCTCTCATAGTACGGTGCCCAGACACAGTGACCTTGTACTCAGTGACCTTGTACCTGAGTATATATGCATGTAAGTGCTAGATAAGTATTATGTAAATGCACCACCACCATGGCCTGTTCCCCGTGTCATTTTCATCCTCAGTTTGTCTCTTCATATTAGTCACCTTTCTCTCAGTGAGAAACCAGTTTATGTGACTTTGAATTGCTGGTTGATAAAGCAACAGCTAGCAATGATTCTGACAGCAGGATATCATATAGTTTTATGCATAATCCCCCAGTATATACCAGTATATAACAATTTTGTTCTGTCACTAAAGTGACAGAACATGAGAAGCATTGCTTTCAAGTCAAACAGATCAACACTTGAGGTAAAGCTGTCCAAAACACACGCTTCAACCAAGAGTGACTTCTATTCTCTTTTTCTCTGAATTCCTCCCCGTCTGCGAGTCCACCACTTTGACATTCCCCAAACACTACGGGCTATTTTGTCCAGGACAGCATGATGCCAATAAGTGACCGGTGGCGGCTTCCATTTTACCAGCAGCGATGTTAGCCCAGCAGAGTGCCTTGCCCATTTAAGACTGGAGGCAACAGCAGTATCTCCTTTCAGAGCTAAGAGGGGAGAACACGTGTGCAGAAAATGGCATTAGTCACTTAATACCGCACACAGGAGGCAATACAAAGCCCATTTCAGAACCATTTCCAGAAGCTCTGCGCTCTCAGATCCCTCCGGATTTGTCCACACATGATTCACTGCAATTCAGACTATATATCACCCAATCCTATTTTAATACCTATAATTAGATTGCACCAGTATCTATACACCCTATTAACCATAATAACCTGTTTCTTCAGTCATTTTCCTTTTTTTGCCCGTACGTCTAACAGATATCTCCTGAGAAGAGGCTGGCTTTAAAAAAAAAAACGTTTTTGGAGGGTTCGATAAAAAACAGAGATAAATGATGGCGTCTGGAAACTGTCCGATGCTAGTGCAAATAAAAGCAAATGATACACTCAAGAGTTAATGTAATTCACAGAATACGAGAATCAGACCTTTTACCACTCCACTTTAATGGAAGTAAAGTCATGTCTACTCCTATCAAATAAAGTCCATTTTACGATGAGCGTTAAATTATCCTATTCTTTCACACCTAATGAACGCAATTAGCAGAGAGACAGGCCAATAAAGCCAGAAGTGAGGGTGCAGTCATTTCAGCTTTATTCCTCATTTTTTCTCCGCAGCAGGATTTATGAAGCACTACACAGTCAGCAAACGGGTAACACAAAGGCCCAGATTCAATCTACCCACAAAGCACTTTGTCCTAAAGTCTGCCAAACAAAAGTACAACAGGTTAGCAAACATTCCAACACGTCCTACACAGCGTGACAAGTTTGAGTCGCTGAAATGTGTGCAAAACTTAGATACACAAAACATGTGTTACTTGATTATAAGGACAAAACATGTTGTGGCAAATCTGAACTGCTAAACGTGAGGACCT